GGCTGCGGCTCCGGCTGCGGCTCCGGCTGCGGCTCCAGCCCCCCCCCGCCCCGGCCCAACCCGGCACCCGGAGGCGCCGCGACGCCACCGCAGCCGGTTGATGGCCGTGTGGCGCTTTGGCCTCTGCGCTCCGAGCCGCGCTGTCAGCAGCTGCCGGCAGTCGGCACCATCGGCTACCGAAAGGCGCGATTCAGCTTTCAGTTTGGCGAGTGTTCTCATACCCACGGAAAGACGATCCGAGCAGTTGTGTTTAATAGTGGAAGTGAAGGGTCTGGCTGGAGAACGTGTTGACGTTCGTGCAGACTTCGTACAGCAGAGCCAGGTGAGTGCAGGTAAGTACAAGCAGGTACACTGTACAGCAAATGTCTGACATATTTCAACAGCTTCTCCTATTGCTGTGGGTTGTCTTTCCCCAGCTCTTTTATTTAATTTCTACGAGCTCTGAGAAGCAACAGCTACAAAATACTTCAACGGAGAAGCTGTTGTAGAAAGGAAGCACCAGGCACGCCATTTTCTTTGAGGAGATTCTTGTTTATATCCTTTTTATTTTATATACCTCTCAGAGTGACTGAGACTGGGGGAAAATGGCAAGCCTTATTCTCTACAGCAGCACTATCAGTACATGCTCCCAGTTTTACAAATCATGGAGATCACCACAACTTCTTGCTCTAGAACCATGAAGACAAACCTGTTAAAGCATTTCTTCAAAATTGCTTCTTTCAGTGAATGGGGTAAGTAAGTAGATCTAAGAACACAGACGGGCAGCAAAAAGGTACCCATGAGCCCAGGATACTTCAATTACCAGTGTGCTCTTCCGAGAATTGTAAGGTGGAGTGGTACACTCCATGGTGATGCCTCACGTGTATGTGACATGTCAGCTACCTTTCCCAGGACAGTCAGAAACTTGTAGGAAAAAAAGATGGCAAAAAAAGTCACAAGAAGAAAAGTCAGAAGGGCAACACTAGCAAAGGCAGGTTACCTGTGACACAAACACAGCAACGTGTATTTTGCACCCACAACACACAGAACACTCCAGGTGTGGGCTGGTCTGAAAGTGGGAAGGATAAAACCCTCTTGAGTGCAACACCTATGAAAAAGTACTTGATCCTCCTCAGTGCCCGTTTGTACGATAACACCACCTCTCAGCAGCACTCAAAGAAAATCACAAAATGCAAGACTCTGCAAACCAACAAATCTTAGTTCATGACCGTGGAGAGAGCAGGGCACATTATGACCAGCTGAATCATTTCAAGTGCTACACAACCCATGAATTTGGAAACTACAGGTACAGCAGACTTTCCTAAAACTCCTATTGCTCCAAACAAGAGATGACTCCATGGATGACTGCTGTGCCCATTCACAGGGTGCTGGTGATAACTCAGTTCCACTCTTGCAACTCCCTTAAAAGATACAAGGACACGGACTACAGGACTCAGTTTCTCCTTCACAAGCTTCTTCCACTGTAGCAGTTATCAGCACATGATCATTTGGCTACAATGTCACTGAGAACAGGCTCTTCCTCACCAACAAGACCATTCTTACAAAGTAGCCACACTATACTTCACATGGAAAGACAGATAGGAGAGGGTCACCTACACATACTGAGCAGGTGTTTACACAGAATCTTGCCCTTTCTCAAGGTTTGTTGCATTGCATTACTAAGGTACTGCTTACATGCATTTCAAATAATTAACATTAAATGAAAACTCTGTGTTGTAAGACAATAGTGATAAATAAAGCAATGAACAATAGAGTTTTAGAAAAACCTTCAAGTAATAAGCCATTCATGATGAAATTACCTGTCTATGTCTAATAGTCCAATCCTCTGAGTAACGCTGCCGAGCAAGAAATGAACATTATAGTGGTATTAGGCACATTAGGACATACTGTTGTTACACCCTCAGCTACACTGCTACCTCTAACTACACCTCTCTGTAAAAGACATGATGATTAACAGTAAAGCAGATGAAAAGTGACCATAGGACAGTACCAATCCCTCAGAGATTAACCCTCATTTGGCAGAAGAGGCCACAAGGTTGCTGTGTGAATAGACTCCTAATGGACAAGAAGGTCATTCTCGCAAAATCCTTCCAGGTGCAGTAAGACTCTGGATGTACTCACGGGCTGGTAAGGAGCACACAACCTTTCTAACCAGTAACACTATTTAGAATGCCTACTACGCTGTTCCTCACAAAATATTTGCATCAATTGTAAACGCTTAGCATCGAAAGATCAAGCACTGCCATGTGAGGGATAACGATACAAACCAAGCTGAGAGGCAACATAAAAAGCACAAATGAATAACCCTTCACAGCAAGAGTATCTTGACATTTCTTAAAGTGCCATGCCATCTGTAACACACGCCAGCAGAAACCGTGACAATACTCTCTAGCATTTCACCTGTTATTTGAAGGCCTAGGAAGAGGCTTATAGAATCTATAAGCACAACATTCAGTCTTGGAACATCCAGTTCTTCAACTCCACTCCATTTTTGGAAGAGCACAGCGGCGGCTCAGCACCAAAGTGACCAACCAGTGCTCATGTATGCACATGTATTTTAGAATTTAACACTTACCCACAAGTAATTTCGCTCCTCTTCCACCTTATTCCTCAATCTGGAGCATGGACCTCACTTTTGACCCAACCAAGGAAATTCCCACAAGTAACAAGGAATGTGCAGGAATGCATTGGAATGGTCTCCCGGTTGAGGAAAAAGTACCTCCAGCATAGAAAACACATACTGCATTCTGGTACACAAAGATGGCACTGCTGTCACTACTGGCTGAGGAACACGCTGTGTGAGGAACCATCACACGAGAGAAATACAAGTCCTGCCCCAAAGCAGGCACAGGCAGCTCTACGTTTATTTCCAACAATGGTTTACATTGGTCCTAAATAATGACTGTTAAATGAAAAAGCTGTGTTACAAGGGACGAGTGATAATTAAGTGAAACAAAGACGGACTTGAGAAAAACACCTCAACTAACACGCCGTACAACATAAAAATAATTTTGTATTTGTAAAAGTCCAATCCAATAAGTAAAACTGCTCACTGGCTGGTAAGAAACACAGAAAAAAAGAAGAGAACCTTTCTAACGAGTACCGCTATTAAAAATATGTAGTACTCAGTTCCTCACACACTGATTTCAATGACAATAAATAATAAACAACATAAGATCAAGTGCTGCAACATGCGTGAGCAGGTAATGATACGAAACAAGCAATAGGGCTGCATGAAAAGTACAAATGATTAACCCATCACGGCACGATATACACGGGGTAATTAAAGTTCCGTTTCAAGAGAATTTCATCCTACTCAAGCACAATTGCTCTCGGGAAGACATCTGACGCTGCTAATAAGGAAAACTTCTATTTCCTAATACTGCAACACATCCGTTCAGAAGACCTATTCTGACAGGAACACCGGTCGGGGAACAAAATGAAAAACCTGGAGGCCGCGTGATAAAACCAGCAAACCCCGCTGAGAGGAAGCTCCAGCAGGCAACAGCAGCCTCCCGCTTCTCCTGCCTCCCGCAGCAACGGTCACGCTGAGCCGCGATCCCACGCTCACCTCCCGGGAGCACGAGGCGCCAGCGCCCCGCGCGTGGCTGAGCGAAGCTTTGCCTTCCCGCTACCTCCACCTCCCGAGGCAGGAGGCAGAAGACGGGGGGGAAAGGGCGGAGAAGCAGCGGAGGGAAGCGCCGCGCCGCGCCGCGCCGCGCCGCGGAGAAGGGCTGGTGGGAGGAACTCACCGGGGGAGCGGCAGGGTCCTCCCCGAGCAGCGGCGCGGGCTCGTCGGGCGGCGGCCGGGCCGGGAGGGTGTCGCAGCAGCTGCCGCCCGACAAGCGGAGCTGGCTCTTGCGCGAGTCGGCGGTGAGCGACACCTCGTGCGAGTAGGAGTGCAGGAAGGCGCGGACGCCGTCGAT